TTTGTGTTATTTCTTTAGTTCTACTTTGTAATATACTAATTCCTCTCTCAGCTGGAGCTAATCAACTGATTAGTCCCTGTGTCTATTTTTTTAATTTAAATTATTATATTTTTTATTTCTAGAAAGTCTATTGCAAACTTTTTAAAATTATGCCTGGTCATCTTTGTAGTCTCTTGCTCCATACTCATGTTTTCAAATCCCTTCTTTTATTTCTTTAAACATATTAAATATACTTGTTTTGTGTCATATGATCTATCAATTTTATCTCTCAAGCTTTTGTGGATCTGGCACTCTTCTTTCTTGTTTTTGCTAAATCTCACAAACAGTGGCTAATTTTCACGTGCATGCATACGTGTGTGCACACGTGCACATGCTCTCTAATGAACTCATATTTGTTAGAACTTTATCTGTAAGAATTTTTTTTTTTTTGTGAGGAAGATCAGCCCTGAGCTAACATCCATGCTAATCCTCCTCTTTTTGCTGAGGAAGACCAGCTCTGAGCTAACATCTATTGCCAATCCTCCTCCTTTTTTTTTCCCCAAAGCCCCAGTGGATAGTTGTATGTCATAGTTGCACATCCTTCTAGTTGCTGTATGTGGACGCGGCCTCAGCATGGCTGGAGAAGCAGTGCGTGGGTGAGCACGCTCGGGATCCGAACCCTGGCCGCCAGTAGCGGTGCGCGAGCACTTAACTGCTAAGCCACGGGGCTGGCCCTGTAAGAATTTTTGAAGCCTGGGTTGGGAAGCTTTCCTCAAGGGATGATTTGTATTTACTTCTGCCAGGTATCTAGAATATTTATTTTTTCATATCGTAAACCTTTATTTTTGGTGAATTCATTTTCATATTATTTAAATTACTTATTGTTTGTTTAATTTTGTTTCTATGAATTACTTTTTATATATGAGGAAAGAAGTAAAATCATGTCATTTCTTAGGAAGGCATATTTGCTCCATCTCCCAGCAAAACAGATGTTGGTCGGTTATCAGGATTCTTTACAGCCCATCCCATATAGTTTTTCGACTCCACTTTTGAACTTTTTAACTGTGATATAACATATATGCAGAAAAATGCACATATCCTAAGTGTACAGCTTGACAAATTTTTACAGACTGAACTTGTTCATGGAATCAACACTCATAGCAAGAAACAAGAAACAGAACAGTACCGAATTCTGAGAAGTCCCCCAGTGCCCTCTTCCTGTCAGTACCCAGCCCCTCCCCAAAGGTAACCACTACCTGATTTCTCTTTTTGTCCTTAACAATTAAATGTTTAATACAACACTCTACATTGTTGTTTGCAGCGATGCACACAGGCTGTGTTGAGAAGGAAGAGAAATGCTTGATGGTTCTTCCTGCTTGTCATGAGATATATATATATCTCATGTATACACACACACACACACACACACACACATCAATTGAGATAACTATATATGTCTTTCTATTTCAACTTGACAGTTGGTCTTATTTACATTTTCTTCATGAGTGGTGAAAAATACTTAATTTCAACTTCAAAACAATTCACAGAGGATTCCTGAACTAAACAACAGACTCTTCAAAATTCAGCCTCATGACTCTAAGAACTGGGAGGCTATTTTCTTTTAGTGTGGTAGAGCGGGGTATTTGCTCCTTTTAGCCATCTATTTCTAAAATTGAGTGCAGGGAAAATAAAAGCCTGTCTAAATAAAACGGTTACATTGCCCATTTTAACTTATTAGAAAGAAACACTTTTAACCTTTCAAAGAAAACATGTTGACAGATACAGGGAAACATAACACATTGTCACTGAGGGTGAGAACATGATGTGAGATGATTCTTTTTACAAGTTTATTTGAAGCCCAGGTAGTCTAATAGAGCACATGAAAGTGTCGGCCTCCAGAAAGTGTGGGTTTATTTTATATCTAATTTGCAGAAATGATCATTCACAAGTCATTTTCTTTCATTAGAATTGTTACTATAGCTAGAAGACTTGTACTAATCTTTTGGTGCTACTGCTAGGTGGAAAATAGAAATGTTTTAAACTTTGATCAAATTTCTAAGATAGTTTTATATAAAAGGCAGAAAACAAAATAGTTAAGAGTCAAGAGGCTGTAGCATTACAACCTGGGATTGCTTCCAAGTTCTACCAAGATTAGGTAGGTAATTTGGGGCTAATTGCTTAATATGTGGCTCAATTCTTCATTTTTAATATAGGGTTATAATAAATAAATTTTAGTGAAACAATAATTACAACAAACATGCCTGCCATTTAATACGGTGCCCAGCACATAGAAAGCCCTCAATAAATGAATCACTACCCTGATTTCTGACAGCAGAGATTAGCTTGACCTGGTTTTTATTAGATGGTGTATACTCTTTGGTGCCTGTCTTTTCCTGTCATTCTCCACTATGCTTCTGAGCTTCAACCACATTATTGCATGTAGCAATAATTTGTTCATTTTCATTGATGCATAGATTTCAATTGTGTTAATATCCCACAATTTGCTTATCTATTCTACCGCTAATGGGCATTCCAGTTGGGGGAAATCACAAATAGTGCTCCCGTGAACATTCTAATTCTGCCACATGTCCTTTGGTAAACATATGTATGTCTTTCTGTTGAGCATATACCTAGAACTAGAGTTGCTGAATCATATGGTATGCATAAGTGCCAAACAGTTTCCAACCAGGAGTAAATAGGAGTTCCAGGTGGGCATATAGTTGTATCTTGTTGTGATTTTAGCTTGCATTTCCCTGATGACTAATGAAGTCGAGCACATAAATCCAGCGTTAATTCGCTGTTGGCCTGAAGTTTTCGGGACAAAACTAGTGGTGTAGACTCAGACTCAGTTCCCAAGTGGGGACCAGATTCAGAGGCCATGAATCCTCACGGACTTTTTGTTATAGCTCCTCACAGAAACCAAGCTGGGACAGGGAACTTGCCAACTTTCCCTGCTATCTGCAAATGCCTGTAAAGTTTGTTATTTTATTATGTTTATTTTCTAGTTCACCCTTTGCTTGACGGCAGAGGCTCCTGGATCCCAACATGTGTGAGATGGTGAGGACCACTTCCCGCCTGCATGGGCCCACACTCTAGTTCAGAGGCTCTGGTTAGCTCCTCCAGATCCACATATGCCTCCAGGACACCCAGAGCTTTACTGCTCACTCACCTCCCTGATCTCAGCTCCCACTTCCTTTTTTTCCATCACAAAATTTCTTCCTTTCTGCAGGTTCACCTATTGATTTAAAAGACTATTTTTCACATTTTATTCATATTTTTAGGTGTGCTAAAACTAGAAGATTTTAGGAATTTTAGGTCTTTGTTTTAAAAGTGACATATATGTACTCTGGACATGGGTTACTCCACCAGCAGAATCCTGTGCCTTGTAATGGCAGGGCTCTTTTGTGCTTAGGGCTCGTTGACACTTGGAAAGGGGTGGTTTTGATGTCATCTAAGCCCCACAATACACAAGAAGAGGGCAATTCTTCCTTCCCCTGCATAGTGACTCTACAAAGCCTTCTGTGAAGATCCCCATCAGATAAATCATCCAAAGCACTTGGCCTCACTAGCAAAGGCATATAGACAGAAAATATATGGAATATAATTTCTCTACTCCAGTATGAAAAGAAGGATGGATTCTCTATTCCTATGTGAATCTATAACATCAGACCTTCAAAAAGACACTAACCTAATAAACTATTAGTATAAAGGTGGAAACTATTAATCACAAGATTTTACTCACAATTGAAAACATTCTGCCCTCTCTTTCACAAGAGCATGAGAAAGATAAAATGAGTTAGCCACAAAGGAAGTAAAGGAAAAACAGAAGAGGTACTATTGCTTAATCATTTATGAAGGTTCAGCAAGCTGCTATCTTTTAAAATACTGCACTTTATTAAATTTCTTGTGGGGTCGGTGGTTTAGTGGTTAAGTGCACGCACTCTGCTACTGGCAGCCTGGGTTCGGATCCCGGGGGCCGACGGATGCACCGCTTGTCCGGCCATGCTGAGGCCGCGTCCCACATACAGCAACTAGAAGGATGTGCAACTATGACATACAACTGTCTACTGGGGCTTTGGGGAGAAAAAAGGAAAAAAAAAAGGAGGAGGATTGGCAATAGATGTTAGCTCAGGGCTGGTCTTCCTCAGTAAAAAGAGGAGGATTGGCATGGATGTTAGCTCAGGGCTGATCTTCCTCACAAAATAAAAAAAAAAATTTCTTGTGACAATGTTTTCATGGCCAATAAGCTGATTTTGAAAGTGCCTTACACCTAGATTGCATATGAAATTAAAAACTTGAAATCACATAACTGTACACTGTATCATATGCTCAAAAGCATTTACTGATTACCAACAAATCAATGAATTTACCATCTTTTTTATTAGCTCTTAAAATGACTTTTCAACTTTAGTTTTTTGTTCTTAGATCATGTCCAGTGAGAAGCAGAATTCCCTCTAATCTAGCATCCCTTGGATAATTCTTATTTGAAAGACGTAAAATACCTCAGCTTGATTTCACTTACTGAAGTCAATTAGATCATTTTCCCTTTTTAAATACCTTCATTATAATTGAATGCATTTTTGACATCTTCAATAAATGACATGAAAGATTGTTTCAAAATCACTATGTATCTTTTGAACATCTAAACTATTCTAGTTCATCTTTTATTACAGAAACAAAGGCATTTTAAAAAGAGATGTCAATCTCTGTGAAAATAAAGCCTTATATATTCATGTTTGCACCAATCTCCTCTGAGTTTCATGAAGAAAAGGAGAGTGGAGACAGCACTCTATGAAAGCTGAGAGATAACCCGGTTGATCCTTGGAGAGTTCTTCGTCGGCATTCTGTGATAATGAGCACATGGACTTCAGCTTATTAAAATCGACTGACCACTTTATCTAACTGCCAGGAGCCTGGATTCTGACTTCCAACCATTGACATCTGTGTGAAAATTGATCTACATCCACCCTTTAAAAGCGTTGATGAATTAATCAGAAGCTTTCAAAGCAAAGAAAAATGGAAGAAATCATAGTAAAAGTGAATTAGATGTTGAAAACAAACTACAACGAGGCAAAGCTTACCTTGCTATTTATCTTCTAAGAACCAATGTAATTGCTACCCTAGAAAGAGAAAATGAACAGCACATGTATTGAAGAACAGCATGACCTGGATCACTATTTGTTTCCAATTGTTTATGTCTTTGTGGTCGTAGTCAGCATTCCAGCCAATATTGGATCTCTATGTGTGTCTTTTCTGCAAGTAAAAAAAGAAAATGAATTAGGAATTTACCTCTTCAGTTTATCACTGTCAGATCTGCTGTATACGTTAACTCTCCCTCTGTGGATTGATTATACTTGGAATAGAGACAACTGGACTTTCTCTCCCACCTTGTGCAAAGGCAGTGCTTTCTTCATGTACATGAACTTCTACAGCAGCACAGCGTTCCTCACCTGCATCGCTGTTGATCGGTACTTAGCAGTTGTCTACCCTATGAAGTTTTTTTTCCTAAGGACAAGAAAATTTGCATTCATGGTCAGCCTATTTGTCTGGGTATTGGAAACCATCTTCAATGCTGCCATTCTGTGGGAAGACGAAACAGCTATCGAGTACTGTGATGCCAAAAAGTCTAATTTTACTTTATGCTATGACAAATACCCCTTGGAAAAATGGCAAATCAAACTCAACTTGTTTAGGACGTGTGCAGGCTATGCCATACCTCTGGTCATCATAATGGTTTGCAACCGGAAAGTCTACCAAGCTGTGCAGCACAATCAAGCCACAGAAAACAGCGAAAAGAAGAGAATCATAAAACTACTTGTTAGTATCACGTTGACTTTTATCTTGTGTTTTACTCCCTTTCACGTGATGTTGCTGATTCGCTGTATTTTAGAGCGGGATGTGAACTTCAATGAGCGTCTATTTGACCACAAGCCTGGGAAGCAGACTTATAAGATGTACAGAATCACAGTTGCGTTAACAAGTTTAAATTGTGTCGCTGATCCAATTCTGTACTGTTTTGTAACTGAAACAGGAAGATCTGATATGTGGAATATATTAAAATCCTGTACTGGGAAGCTTAGTACATCACAAAGACAAAGTAAAAGCACAATTTCTATGTCTACAAAAGATACTGTGGAATTAGACATCTTGGAATAGAACCAGGGAATTTTTTTAAGGTACATAATATCGAATCACCGAGATTACGTTTTGAAAAGGAAATCTAGCATGGGAGGGGACTAAGTGTTCCAAGTGAGTGAATATTTTAATCTGCTCCAATGGAAATATTTTTAAAGTGCACTGTATAGCTCCCTGACTTTTACTGAATGAGTATTAAATAAAATTTCATATTTTCCTAATGACTCAGGATCATTATTGTTGAATGATAATTGTCTGTATCTGTGCTATAATCCCTCAGAGGTTAGTAAAATGGATGGAACTGTGTGTCTTGAAATCAGTGACCTTCGTATCTGGTTTTTATGATTTTTCTCAGTCTTTCTATGAATTTCAGGCTGTCAGCTATCACTTCTCCCAACTGTAGGTACCTGTCTCCAACAATTCCAACTGCTAAATACTGCTTCAAATCTTCTCATTGTTAACAAATACTTATTGAGCCCACTCTATGTACCAGGTTTTGTGTTAAGTACTGCGGTTACTTAAGAAATGGTCTCATGAAGCCTTATGAAACGCACATCAGTTTGGAAACCTAGTCACTGAGTTGCAAGACTTCTTTATAAAGTAAATCGTCTCTGAGTGGGAGTCTGAAGGCCTCTTCCATGACACAAAGTACATGAGCTTCATGAAAGCTCTTTCAGCTCCTCAGAGACCTTCTTTCTTACCAGTCACGATATTTCTGTTTGATTTTGATTTTTTTTAAATTTGCGATTGAGTACAACCGAGTTGAAAATATACCAGAAGTCTAATGTCTGCACAAAAAGACACATTATAGACAAAAAGGACATTCATTATATTAAATCTTACATTCAGAGACTTCTTTTTGGACTTAAAATATTTAGAAATGCTTGATATAATATATTATTTTATATTTATAATTTCTCACTATGGAAATTGCTCTGCCTAGTTTTAAGTAGGCATTTTTCCTAACCAAAATATTTTTTGAGATTTTTTAAAGATTTTTTTTATCTTACTCTCCTTTTCTCCTCCTCTCCCTTCTCTCTCCTATCTGTTCCTTCAACTCCTCCCCAAATGATCAGATAGCAAATGTCTTGGTACTATCTAGTGCCCTCACATTAGAAAACAAAAATCCTGATAGCAAGAAAGACTAACAACCTTTCAATAATGAATTTCTAGACACAGTGAAAAATCAGAGAGTGCGCAAGCTGACTGCATTTTCCACTTGTTTTCCATGATGGTTTGAATACACGAGAGAAAACCACCTTACTCTGAGGCCAGCTGTGCAGTCTCCGTTCTTTGCATTTTTCTAGTCATAAAGTTTTTAGAGAATTAATAGATTCTGGTCTGGACACTCTGAGATACACTTACATATGCTTAAAGGCTAAAGATGCACCATTAAAATGAAGAGTACCTAAAACAGTTTGGGCTGTTTGGTTGATTATTGGTCAATTATTGGCAGCCTGTGAGTTGATTACTTGTAAAAGTAAAAGATCCAGAAGCAATTTTGCCCACAGATGGAAACTCAGATGCAGGTTAAGTGTCTTGTCCAAGGTCACACAGTTAGCTGGAGGCAGAGCCAGGCCCTGAACGCAAGACTCCTGGTTTCCCTCCAGAGTTATTTTTCCTTCTTTATGGTTTTCTTTCTTTTTTTTTTTTTTTTTAACATTTCCAGCATTTCTTTCTTTAGGGATGAAAAAGACATATATGCATGAGGAGTTGTTCAGGATAGTCACTGGATTTAGATCAGAATAAGGGAAAAAAGGAGAGTTCTTTCACAACTAATTCCTCTAGAAATATAATAAGCGATATAGATAGTAGATAAACTGATCTGTTACATAAAACTTATTAGGATTTTACCTCAGTTGGTTATATGAAGAGATTTGGCAAAGACAAACTTGTGGCACCCTTAATAAGAATATTCTATTTAACGATTAACCGCAAAACCATGATTTAGGATGTTGTGAGATAAATTCCAAAATGAACCAGGCTGCCAAAACCTCCAAGCTGCCCATCCTTCCTCTCAGAGCAGGGCCCATCATGGAGAATCCATGTCGGGAGGGTGCTCGTATGATTTACAGCAAAGCGCTCCAGACATGATCTAAAGTTATCTGCAATCCCAACACTGTAAAGTTAATCTTTTAGTTTTGAAAGGCTTTTTAGGTTCCTAATTAAACTTCCACATTAAACTGAAAGTACTTCTGGAAGGAATAAGACCTTGTAGCTATTATTACCTGGAACTTTGTTGTCAGAAGACCTGGATTGGAACACCACCAATCTTCCACTTACCAGCTGTTTGACCTCAAAAAATGTTTGTGCTCTCCCTAAGGCTCGGTTTCTATAAACTGCAGGAACAATAGTACCACATGTTTTTAACAAGTAGATGTGAAAACACTTTGTAAACTGTGATGAGATTTCTAAATGTTCATTATTCCTAGTTATTCTCATCTTTACTTGGACAGCTACCCAAGAGACAGAACAGTCCCTGGAGAGACACTGGGGCTAGGAATGTAGCAATGTGAGCTGGTAGGAGCTGGCTTCCGCACACCACTGCTGTGAGTGCTTCCTCCAGGTGGTTGAACACATCCATTAAGCTAACTTGAGGGCGTCATTGCTCCTGGCTCCGTGGCACATTCTCAATAGTGCCTGCTCCTAGGAGTTCACAATGCTGAGGAGACACACCATATGCACATCACCATAAACAGATAGGTAGATATCCATTTCTAAATTGTTTAAATTTTTGACTTTTTATTTATTTCATTCAGAATGTTATTTTTCATTTTAATGAAATCAATTAGATATCTTGGATAGGCCAGTAAAGGACTGAGAACAGGTTTTTATATCCTCCATTTTCCCTACCTAGTCTGGGGAAGCTTCCTGAGTGAAGGATAAGTTAAAAGATGTCAAAAACAACCACCTCGTTTCGTTCAAATTATATAGCCTCATCTCCCCAGGAACATCCTGAGGACATCTGCTTCCCCAACCTGATTTATTCCTTTTTCTCTTTTTAATTTAAGCTAAAAATTTTCCCCAAGACATTATATTTCCATTCTTTAATGTTATGAGCAAAGAAACAACTATTTACTAATTGCCTCTGTTGACTTTGTGAACTTGATTTAATTTTAATTAGACGTACCAATTTTGAAATAGAATTTGGGATACATTGCATATAGGCGTTTCTTTTTACAACACTTTTATCTTGCCCTGGGCTTTTTTTGCCCAGTCACCACTGTCATCATTCTGTCATTTATGCATGGGGCCCCTGTTCTTTTCTGGCTAAACCCATCTACAGGTTGCCATGGAAATACAACAGCTACTATAAAACCCTGACCCAAGAAGGCCTTTGTGTTAATAGACTTCTTTGTGTGGTCCATCGGATGACCCTGCCCTGAATTAGAAGGCTGTTCCTCCAATCCACACACCCACACACAAATAACACATATTCTTAGACACACACAAACGACCTGTCCTATCCCACAAAAACAAACAAACAAAAAAATCTCTGGGCTGTTTTAGCACCTGCTTGTACTGTTTTGTAAGATGTCTAATATCAACTAGTAGAACACATATTACCTCCTTAACTTCTGGAATAATGCACCATGTGGGTGTTTTCATTTTCTTATTTACTAAATCAGCAGCCAGGGAGACATTGCTGAGATTCTCCCTGCCTACCCCTCCTCTCTTCCTCCTCCAGCCAGAACTGGCTGCCAAGCAAGCTGTGGTAAGAAAACTTATCTCAGCATTTTTTTCATTGCTCTACTATTCTGGAAAAATCCCGTTCTGACTGAGACGTTTTATTTACATCTCCTGGACAGACACCTTCGAGGGAAAATAACAGAAGTTTAATTTAAAAGAAAGTAGGAATGTCCAATTTTGTTCTTTGTTTATAGTGTAAACACCTGATTCAGTTCAAGTTAAAAGAAATTTTTTGACTGCTATTATTTCTTTTCTTCTTTGGCATTTCATACAACTTAAAGATGGAGCACAACGTGATTAAGTTCATGTTATTTAGTTGCATTAGCTGAATGCCCCTTGTGTGCAGCAGTAAGCTGACAATGGCAAAATTGAGCCAAATGTGGGTGAGAGGGAAGTGATGTGGGAGTTCAGATTCCTCTTCTCCTCCAAAGATTCTTTTCTTACTCCATCATTTGTTTCTGGCCAAGAAAAATCACACGGGGGCTCTGTCTGTGACCACTAGGTGTCGAGCATGTTCTATTCAGAACCTTGTAGATCGTGGCTAGCTGCCACTCCCAAAGAGCAAAGAGTAGCTTAGGGTGACAATTTTCTATCGAAGAAACAAGAACTATCTCCAATGAATTGGAAATGAATGGGGGGAAATGCTGATATTCAGTTTGCATCATTTATTGCTATGTTTTCTGGAAAGCTCAATAATCATCACATAATTTCATTTGGTTTAAGCCTCATATGTAATTCCAGTATATTTTTTCAGCCAGTTAAAATTAGTTGGTCTGCATGTAAGAGAACATGGATTGAATTGTGCAATTCCTGCAGGATTGTGGATATAATACTAGTGACTTGTTCTTATTTAGTTATGTTACCCATATAAGAAAATACTGGCCACTCTTCACACAAACAGAAACATAAAACATTTAAGCTATAAGCCGTTTGCAATTTTGTCTACTATGTTGAAATTATTATCTATGAAAGTTAAGATATAATTCAATATATGTAAGATTTTTAATTTCTAATTTATTATTGTTAGATCTCAGCTCTAAAAAATTACATTTTTTATTTTGAATTGTTTAAATCTGTTCTTCCCCAAAGAACAGTAATACAATCATATTCTAATTTAACAGCATTTGCATATCATTAAACATATAATGGCCTGTAATCAATTTTTCCTCTTCCTATAATTTTCTTAACCCCTTTATGAAACACTAGTGGATTTTTACACATTAAAAAAATAGGTTATGATTCCTCAAATAATGTCACAATTAGGTGTTCGAAAAGCAAGCCAATAAATGAATGAGCTAGGGAAGGCTCCAAATCATTGCTCAGTGCAAGCTTTAGAGTAAAAATATAAATTGTGTTATCTAAGAAATGTGTGCTCAATTAATTTCAAATTAAATACAATCAAGAAATCTTGTCAGTGACTTGACTTGCCAATGCTATGAAAAATAACTTCAGTTCTCAGTATTTCATTGATCTTTCTTGGATACATGATTGAACTTGTAAACATCCATCTAAAAGAATCCTTTTCAAAATT